GCGCACACCACTTTCGCCCCTTTCGGAAACACATTAAATGGCCTGGCCGGGCCCGTGTGCGAAATACGCATCAGTCGGAAAGCGCACGTTAAATCTCCAAAGTAAGTAAGTAAGTAATAACATGTTCCAGGACCATGTATTCTCTTAACACCATCGGATTTAGAAGCAATGGTCGTATAAAACAAAACAGATCTATTTAATCGCAACAGTATTCATGTTATTCCCACAAAATCACATAAAGAAAGGAGACATTAGGAAATACATGTGTATTATCATTTTTCGTCAGGATAACCAAATTTTCTCTCCTTGTTACCACCTCCAGGTTCAGCTTAAGACGGGTCCTCCTTTGGTCAAAAGTTTGTTCCCCCTCTAATGAGTGTGTCACGCGTTGCACACGAGTGGCGGACGGGGTGCACACCCGTGTGCAACGCGTTGCACACGGGTCTCACACGCGTGACCAACCCGATGCACACTAGTTGCGTAACGCGTTGCCCATGCGTGTAAGGGGAATGAACTTCTAGGCAGTAGTGTATTGCCGATGTGACGTAAAGCATTAACTCACTCACTCTAGCGTAAAGCGCTGTGAATAGATCACGGTTGTCTTTTCTTATTCCGGTGGTGACCTTGCCCTTCGATCGTTCGAAGCTGTCACTGACATGCAAGCCGACTTGAGTTTGTTGATTATCACCTCTTCAGTATAGATAGAGAATCTCACCCGAGTGTCTTTTGATATCAAATATATCAACACGAGTTGATAAAAGTGGGAAAATTCCGGGCTTGCCGAGGATTTTTGCCACTTTTATCAACGAGTGTTGATATATTTGATATCAAAAGACACGAGGGTGAGATTTTATTTATCATCCAACATCATTCTTCCAACTTTTTCAATTTGTAGACAGTAATTAACAGTGTTTTTAGTGTAAAAAGTACTGCTAACAGCTTCAGTAGCAGAGCCATTAGTGATGTCATTTGATTGTGACGTCATGGTAACCGGTGACGTCCCAATGGTCTGCAAAGCATTGTGATGTAATTTCATTGCAGCGATATCTACAGTGTAGATATCGCTTGATCTAACCCAAGCGATATCTCCTGTGGGAGCCAGTTTTGGATGTATGTCTTTGGCGAACACTCTGATTTCCCTCTTCCAAAATGGTACGAACATGATATAAATTCAGCTGATAGATCAAGGAAACCGAAGCATTTTGATTGCACAGACGGGACACCGGCAGTGCGAGTGACCGACTGTTAGTCCGATATTCAAAGCGCGGCGCTAATGTGACTTTTCAAATTTTCTTATAGGTGTCCTTCGTACTAACAACATGGCGCTTGAATTACCATAAGTTGAAGAATTTCTTCCAAATGGATCTTGAGCGTCGGTGCTGTTTTGTTTGCAAACACAACTGCAGGCGCATGTTGTTAATGCGTATGCATAGAAATGTCAACAATGCCCATATATGGGCATATATCAATATTCATGCACAACCAGATTTTGCAACCGGTTTCAGGTTTCAAATATACAGTCAATGCTTATAATTAAATTCGACAACGTAAAACATGTTTTATCTACAATAGTTTAACCCAAAACAGTTGCATATAGCAAAACAGACAAAAATGACGACATTGATAAACATTCCAGGTGTAGGAATACATACAGTGGCCTGACATGAATCAGGTGATCGTTTAATTTATGCACATAGCTTGACACGCCTACACAGTCAGTAGCCAATCAACGGAGAGTGGGATTAAAACAATGTTCATTTGACCTGTCAATTAAGGCAAGAGGCGAAAAGAACTGCAACAGTCAGACTGTAACGAACCGGAAGAAATATGTCCGAGAGAAGGCGGCAGTTTCAAATAGCATGGTCATTTACTGCGTGATTCAAACATTACTTCCCTGATTACGGTAAATCACAGTTGGAGAAATGCTAGTTATAAATGAAACCCGAAGACATGAAAGTTGAACCGGGGCGAGCGGGAATAAAACAGGCGAGCGAGCCTGCACGTTTGCTGTTTCATTCATTCTCGGCCATCGGTTTCAAAGGGTAGTTTGGACAATGAATATGCATGAAAGTCGCTAAATGTCCTGTGCATGACGATACACGTGAGCAGAAAGGGAATTCCCTCGACTGTAATATTGGGATTCCCCGACATTCCGAAGTAATAAAAGTAGTGCGCCGCGGTGGGCGTGGCTTAATTTTTTACGTTCATTGGGAAATGAATGCAATAACACGTGACCAATTCAGCTAATCAGAATGCAGGAATTTCCATGAACACAACGAAAATTTAATTATTTCACGATAAACCATTGTTCTTTCATGACGTCATTTCTGGAGATTCGAATATGTGCTCGCAACTTGATGACGTCATATCTTGGACGACGATATTTTTGAGAGGTACGTGTCAACAGAGAGTATCACCCTCGTGTCTTTTAATATCAAATATATCAACACGAGTTGATAAAAGTGGAAAAAACTCAGAGACTTGCCAATGTCATCCTGAAATCGAAATACCCGAAAAAACAATATCAGTGATTCATAAAAACGATATCTACAATGTAGATATCACTTGATCTCACCTAAACGATATTTCCTTTGGGAACCAGTTTTAGATGATAAAGTAGCTGTTCCCCATAGATATATTTGGGCTACGCAGATAATATAAACGAAGTGGCGGAACTATCGCTTCCAGTGTGGGAGAGATAATGAGATAACGAGAAAAGGTACAGATAATCGACGTGAGGATTGTGAGAATATGCGGGAAATACCATCGGATTCTATACAGGGAGTCATCATTAGTAAAATTGGGTAAATATTTCAAAAGCTTGGACATTTTATCAACCCCAAAGCGGCTTACATAATGTTAATATCTCATACACGAAAGAAACCCGACTCTTGTGAGTCGCCCTGTGGGTGCGCTCCTCATGTTTGTTTCTCCCTGCAGTGTTTTATTGTATAATTAAAGACTCCAACTCGTCGTTTATTTCTTAAATAACAGTCAATATTTTCAACTTGAAACATCTGCTCCCATCATGCAACTTTGCACAATCTACTTATTGTGAATTCATGCTATCTTTATGATAAATGATAAATGTTAAACGAATGACACCACGATAGTGGGTTAGGGCAGGGCGTCGGGAGATAGTATTCAAATAGCACACGTGTCCCAAGTCTCGATGTGAGCATCCTCGACTGTCGGGGGTATTATATCTCTAGTCTATTATGATCCATACCCTGGATCCATTCGCTTCGTTGTGAGCCTGTTTATTTTAGCAAATAGCCAATTGAAATTAAATTACTCACATGAGCTAGACATATTGCATGCGTGTATGTATGTATGGGATAAGGGGTGGGGTGGGGTGGGTGTGTACGTATATTAGACGTAGTTATGTATGTATGCATGCATGTGTCGGGGGAGGGGGGGGGGGGGGGGGGTGCATGCGGGAGTGGGGGGTAGGTAGGTGGGACTTGTACGGGTTTGTGTTTTATCAGTATATCATCTGTGCACGGTGTGTGAGTGTGGGGTTGAGCATGCGGGGTGGGGTAGGGAGGTGGGGCCTATAGGGGGTTGTGTTTTATCAGTATATTCTGTGCACGGTGTGTGAGTGTGGGGTTGAGCATGCGGGGTTGGGTAGGTAGGTGGGGCTTGTACGGGTTTGTGTTTTATCTGTATATTCTGTATAAGGTTAGCGATAACAGGGATGGGTGCGATGACGTCATGACGAGTAGATATAATCGAGGGTGGCCCGTGAGATCCCGAGTCTCGTTCGTGAAATAAAATCTCGTCTTAGTCGCCGTGAATATCTGTAAATTGCTGATGCTGCGTAAGGCAATGTTCCTTGCTCACTCGTCTGTGCGACACACTTTACCTGATGAGCAAAACAGAACTACTTCTCAAGCGCACTCTTAGAAATGTCTGTGAATATCTCATCGAAATGAAATGAAATCTAAAACCACGTACTGTACTCCTGTGAAACTACCATGATGCGCCATTGCAAATGATAGACACCAGAACTTCCGGAATGAGAGTTATCTCCCTTACATCATTAGACTGACCTTGGCAATGAGGCTGACGATGCTGAAAGGCCTAGACTTTGACAATCCTTTTTGGACACCAAAAAGATCTTTGTGACATTTTTTGAGATAATGTCAAACATTTATTTAATTTCATTACAGTGAAGTAGATAAACGATCCAGTCTACACACAGACGTGACTGGATTTCAGTTTGCTCATCACAGTTTGTCACGGGATACCTGAGGCGGAGGTGGTTCCTCAAAACTCTCTGAATGATCTGTTGTATTAAGGTTCCACTGACGCACTGTTTAGTTTCGAGTTGGTAAGGAGGCTGTTTCAAAGATCTGCTGAATGTTTAAGGAGGTTCTGTCGACGATCTGTCGAGGTTCCACTGAGACTCGGGAGGTGGGGTCGTCTGTTTGTACATGACGCCGAAGGCCCGGAATTGATTTCCCTCTTGGGTACAATGTGAGGAGCCCATTACTGATGTCCATCGCCGTGGTACTTGCCGGAATGTTGTTAAAGGCAGCGTAAAACCCTCTCACTCGTTGTAAGGTGGTGAAGTGGATTAGGAATATACCTTCAGTTTCTTTGAGTTCATTGGACTGTGAACCTTCATAGAGTGAGGCCAAACTGTATGCATGTCGGAGCTTGCGACATATTCCAATGAACTTACACAAAGTGAAATAAAACTCATATATATTCTTTATCACATTTTTTTGCCTCAAAGAACTTTGGCCTGGATGTCTTTAGAGAAGGCTGGGTGGGGTTCATGGGGTCAATAAAATAGGATGTCTTTAGAGAAGGCTGGGTGGGGTTCTAGGGGTTAATAAAGAAGGATGTCTTAAGAGAAGGCTGGATGGGGTACTGGGGGTTAATGCATAAGGATGTCTTGAGGGGTTAATAAAGAAGGATGTCTTAAGAGAAGGCTGGGTTGGGTTCTAGGGGTTAATAAAGAAGGGTGTCTTAAGAGAAGGCTGGGTGGGGTTCTAGGGGTCAATAAAGAAGGATGTCTTAAGAGAAGGCTGGATGGGGAACTGGGGGTTAATAGAGAAGGATGTCTTGAGTGAAGGCTTGGTGGGGTTCTGGGGGTGAATAAAGAAGGATGTCTTAAGAGAAGGCTGGGTGGGGTACTTGGGGTTAATAGAGAAGGATGTCTTGAGAGAAGGCTTGGTGGGGTTCTGGGGGTGAATAAAGAAGAATATCTTGAGAGAAGGCTTGGTGGGGTTCTGGGGGTGAAAAAAGAATGATGTCTTGAGAGAAGGCTGGATGGGGTACTGGGGGTTAATGCATAAGGATGTCTTGAGAGAAGGCTGGGTGGGGTTCGAGGGGTTAATAAAGAAGGATGTCTTGAGAGAAGGCTGGATTGGGTTCTGGGGGTTAATGCATAAGGATGTCTTGAGAGAAGGCTGGTTGGGGTTCTAGGGGTTAATAAAGAAGGATGTCATGAGTGAAGGATGGGTGGGGTTCTGGGGTTTAATAAAGAATGATGCCATGAGTGAAGGTTGGGTGGGGTTCTGGGGTTAATAAAGAAGGATGTCATGAGTGAAGGCTTGGTGGGGTTCTTGGGGTTTAATAAAAAAGGATGTCTTAAGAGAAGGCTGGGTGGGGTTCTAGGGGTTAATAAAGAAGGATGCCACGAGTGAAGGCTTGGTGGGGGTTTTGGGGTTTAATAAAGAAGGATGTCTTAAGAGAAGACTTTATAGGGCTCTGGGGGTTAATAAAGAAGATTCCGCGAGAGGAGGACGTATGGGATTCTGGGGGTTAATAAAGAAGGATGGCGTGTGAGAAGGTTGGATTGGGTTCTTGGGGTTAATAAATAAGGTTGCCAAAGAAGGCTGTGTTACAGATAACCCAACTGACTAACATTCTCACTCTCATGAAGCCACTTCGTCATCACCCTCCGCACAAGAACATGAAACCACTCAATCACTCAATCACTCACTCACCAACACTCACTCACTCACTCACTCAGTCACCCACCCACCCACACACCCACACACCCACCCACCCACTCACTCACTCACTCACTCACCCACTCACCCACACACCCACCCACCCACCCACTCACTCACCCACTCACTCACTCACTCACTCACTCACTCACCCACCCACCCACCCGCTCACCCACCCACTCACTCACTCACTCACTCACTCACCCTTTCATTTACAGAGACAACACATCTTCCACTGCTACCCGTACAGACTTTATGGAAGAGCGCCTCCTATGCACATGTATTTCTACAAATCCAATTTCCCAACTTTTTAAAGAAACCTCCCGTGTTTCAAAACTACAAAATGTACTTGGGGGTGATTTTGTAAATTTCATTCAATAGCAATGAAAATACATCGCATTTCGTTTGGAAAATTTTCAACTAAAAACGTCACCAACATTGCAATAACTATGAGATTTGACAGGAGCAAGACAAGATGTTTTTTTGTGGCGAGCGGGGAACCTGGGAATCGCGCGTTCAACTCCACGGAGTTATTGGGCGTCATCTGCCACAGCATGATTTGAACATGAATGTTTTATCAGAAATATGGGGTTACCGTGATGGTTTACGTATGAATAACGGCGCCAAGCTGTAAGGAGAGAACACAAGTGACACCTCTCCGATAAAGGGAAGCCGGTGTACTGAGAAGATTTACCTGCTAGCAGATAATGTCCGCCGGTTCTTATGGTCCAAGGACAGTGCTTCCCAGGTTATATTGTCCTGGTGCATGGACGGCTAGGTCAAACGAGTGATGTTAGGACAATCTGTAATTCATTTGAAGATTATTTTGTTCTTCTTTTGTGTGAATTGGGTTTATCGTCGATTTGAACAGACTACAACCTATTCAAAATGTCAGCGCCAGAGAATATAGTCAGTCTCGGTTATCAGCCGAAAAAGATTCCATTGGACGAAAAGAAAAATAGACGTGATGAACATTAATTTATGAATGGATCTTTGAAATGTCAATGAAGACACCAGGTGTTCGCGAAAAGGGTAAGCATGTTCTGCACTACCATAAGTCTTTGTTTGTTGCCCGACGCTGCACAGCAATACTCCCGGCATAAGACGGGGGCCTATTAACGGTCAAGTCTGGACCAGACAATCCAGTGATCAGTAGCGTGAGCAATGATCCACATTGTTGTGGAACAATGCCATACTGCGAACCAAGTCACCAAACATGACAACCCAACCATTACTATGGAATACTACAAGGGACATTGTCGCGTTGACGCATTGTCTGTCGCATTGTCGTCCTTGCAACAAAGCAAAGCCAAAAGTGCGACATTTTGGCCATTTGTCGCGTTGTTGCTTTGTCGGGCATTTTAACGCCTTTTTTACACATTTTTGATAGGGCGACCTTGAAAATTGTCGCGTTGCCGCATTGTTTGTTTGTTTGTTGTTGAACGCTGCACTCGGCAATATTCCAGCTATATGACGGCGGTCTGTAAATAATCGCTTTGGTAAAATAAAAAAGATTGCGACAACGCGACAATGCGACATTTGGCCAAAATGTCGCGTTGTCGCATTGTCGCGATTTGGCTAATTTTGACACTTTTTGCTTGTCAAATATCCCTGCATCGTTTTTTAAGAAAGATTTTCCCAACTAAACTTTTCAAACCTATCTCCCTTCATCTCTCCTCCAATCCTATATTGAGATCCATTCCAAGAAGCTTACACTGTCGCCATTACAACATTAAACGTATTCCACATTAACAGCTGTCACAAAGAGTTATCTCCCCTGAAGCCATGTAAACCACTGGTTGATGGTGGGACATCTGTCGATGACAAAAAGGTTGAATTCACTGGTTAAGTCACTATTGCTTGTTTCGTTTTTATTTGTTTGTTGTTTAACGCCGAACTCAGCAATATTCCAGCTATATGACGATGGTCTGTAAATAATCGAATCTGGACCACACAATCTGGTGATTGATATCATGAGCATCGATCTACGCAATTGTTGTTGGTGGTTTTGTTGTTTAACGCCGCACTCGGCAATATTCCACCTATATGACGGTGGTCTGTAAATAATCGAGTCTGGACCACACAATCTAGTGATTGATATCATGAGCATCGATCTACGCAAATGTTGTTGGTTGTTTTGTTGTTTAACGCCGCACTCGGCAATATTCCACCTATATGACGGTGGTCTGTAAATAATCGAGTCTGGACCACACAATCTAGTAATTGATATCATGAGCATCGATCTACGCAAATGTTGTTGGTTGTTTTGTTGTTTAACGCCGCACTCGGCAATATTCCACCTATATGACGGTGGTCTGTAAATAATCGATTCTGGACCACACAATCCAGTGACTGATATCATGAGCATCCATCTACGCAATTGGCACACGATGACATGCATTAAGGGTTGCTGAAGACGAATTCCAGGGGCAGGTCCCTCTTGTGTGCCTTGTGTGCCTCTTGTGTGCCTTGTGTGCCTTGTGTGCCCTTTGTGTAGATTATAGCCAATGGGAAGAATACAGTTCACTGTAAAACGACAAGAGAACAACTTTGCACAGAACATGTAACCGACATTATCAATCAGGTTATTTCCTAGTTCAGGCTACGAGGCCCATAGTACAGTTGACAGATTATATTAGTCGCCTGTCCAGTGTGTTACAACTTTCCCGATCCAATATCAAATATAATTAAACATATAAAACTATCAAATGTAGAACATCAATATCACACGAGTTATACATTTGTAAACGCAATTCTACCTTATAATATGAGCTAAGAAAAGAATTTCTAAAACAAGACATGGTATTCATCTTCTCCGAAGTGAAGGTCACAGTCTTCCCAAGCAGCTTCTGTATCAGGTATATTTATCGTTGACATTTTACGAATGATGTTGACTCGAAAGTTGTACACACTGCTCTAACTAATCGTTTGTCTTTGAGTAGTTATATATCATTCAAGAAATTTTATAAGAAATAATTCACTAAAAACGTAGAAGACTCCAAACGTTGGTACAATGTTTGGAAATGAATATCTGTTAAGCATCTCAACGTGCAGACAAAAACATGTTCTTATCACCAACATCTTGGTGTGACCACACACACGCAATACAACATGGTGTCAATTCTTTAAGCATAATATAACTTTGGAAGGGGTATCGACTTACATTCATTCTCAAAAGCTTCATCCAGTACTTAATTAGTCTTTTTTGCGTACTTATTAACATACAACGACGCCCAGTTACACCAAGAATAGCTTTGTATACTGCATATTTACCCATGCCAAGAAAACGTTCAAAATTCGCATGCTTTTATCTGTTCAATTGCGTCATGATATATAATACCCCCTATTTCAGAACCATACATGAATATGAGGAGCGAGTTTGCCGACACATGTTTTGCAAGCAGTCGAGAAATCCATAATTCTGTTATTACCGAACAAATGGAAAACTTGACCTATTACCTTGCGTGCTTTCATAAGCGTTTCACACGTTTAGACCACATTAACCGTCAGAAGAACATAATTCCCAGATAATTATAGTAGGTTTCCGCCGTTATCTTCACATTATCCAGAGTCGACAAAACGAAACAAGGTAACAATTCCAACATATTTCGGCAAAATCCAACTGTTTTAATTTGTGGAAAAGGTTCCAAGCCGCAGAGGTCTACACGCATATGGAAAGTGATCCCGCTTGGCTCGTGCTCTCGCAAAGTTGTTTTGCAATTGAGATCTCGAAAGGTTGCCCAAATTTGAAAAATGCCTTAGTTACGCCACAGTTAGACACTGATTTTCAGTATATTAGACTATTCTTTTGATAATGATAGCAATTATCCCAGTAGTTTCTCCAAATTCCCGATGGTTAATTCTGACTCGATTGCCGAAGGGCGACGCATTGTTTGTTTATAAGTAGTGAAAGCAGTCCCTACTTGACCTTTGATATTTGCATTTTTATCAGCATATGACCCCAACGGATATCGTTTTTACCCGTTGGCTTTATCCTGCCGAGAAATCTACCCATTATATGATAAACAAATATACCGGGATCACAAGCAGCATACATTTCTATGACAAGCTCATTAATAAAAGAATATAAACAGGACAGGGCTCAAAACGCAACTTTGTCTTACTCCACCAGATGTGTTAAAAAAAGAAGTTTTACAGCAATCAACGTTTACACCCCCTTTTTCTGATGCATACATATTTCTTAACAGATGGTACATTTTACCATGACATCCTTTTCATAAGGGTAAATATAACATTTATTTCGCTGTCAATATAATCAAACGCCTTTTCTAAAATCAATGAATACACATTATAATCTGCCTTTTGGCTTGGTGAGATATTTTGAACATGTTGCCTGCAAAGTGAAAATATGACCAATAGTGGAATATTGAGAACGGAAACCTGCTTGAGATTCCGAAATATGGTCTTCTTCCTTAACAGATTCTGAGTCTTTTTCTAGAATAGAC